GGTATTGTACTGGCCCTCAAGCAGCTGACAGCTCAGAAAGGAAGGTAATCAGTAGACATTTTAACAGACAACTTAAATGTGTTGTGATGAGTAATATTTGTTAAGTAAATATTTATTGTCAAGTGCCATTTAAGTGCCAGGTTATGATGGAATAACCAACAAAATGCTCTGGGACTCTCAACTCACATGGAGAAGAGCATATTATTTAAGGAGGGCTTCCTGGAACAGGTGATGTTCATTTGTGGCTTCGGGTGAGGGAATTTTTTTTTTTTTTCTTTTTTTTTTTTGCGTGTGGGAATTTCTCTGAGAAAAACTCAGTTGCCAAGGTTCATAGCAGCTGGTGGAACAAATGCCTCAGCCCTGCACATGGATGTGGGCTGCACGCAATGGTACCTACCTTGGTGATCCGGGTAAAGCAGGGGCTTTCAAACCTGAGGGTGCATCAGAACCACCTGAAGGGCATATTAAAAGATTGCTGGCCCCACCCTCAGGTTTTCTGATTTAATAGGTCTGGGGAGGGGTCTCAGATCTGCATATCTAACAAGTTCCCAGGTGATAGTGATGCTGCAGATTCTGGATCTGCACTTTAAAAACCACCAATATAGAAAAGGCTGTATTTGGAATGTCACTCCGGGGCATGCATTGTGAGTAGATAATATGTCAATACTATATACTAAATAAATGAACTAATATCACAAAGGTCAAAAATTCTACTTCCATTTGAGGGAGAAAGCACATCATTACAACACAATGTGGCAAGTGCTATACAGAAATTAGAACAAAGTATTAGCAGGGCTGGAAAAGGAAAGGACTGATTTTTCCTTAGTGCCTCATAAGAATCTTGACACAAAGTAAGTGATAGGTGAGCTGTCTCACCTCCTGACTGAATGAACTAATTGGGAGTAAATTATTTGTTATCTTTTCATCTTAGTTTTCCCATGAATAAAATGGGAATATTAATAGCTGTATCAAGGGGTTGTTGTTAGGGTTAAGATAACACAGGTGAAAGTACTTTATAAAATAATGTTCTAAATTTTCATTTTTATCCTTTCCTTGATTATTTTTCCTAGAGTTCTTTGCTTGCTTGCTTATTTGTTTGTTTTAAGTATGTTTGACTGCCTTGTTGCAGAAAAATCTGATATTTTTCTGGGCTTTTACATGTTTTCTTTTGTTTTACTGGTATTGCAAGGAAACAAGAAGCCACAGTTAAAAGTGTAACTTAAATGAGAGGAATTAATAACGGGTTTCCTTTTTCACATAAATTTTGCTTCTATTATAAGAAGTTGGCTAAGTTACAAATTATTTCATGAGAGACATGAATATTAATTATCCAAGTGATACAAAAATAAATGTACATTTGGTTAGAACTTTCATCTGTGGATTTAAATTTCATCCCTGACAGGAACTTTAAAAAAACCAAATTTAATCTCTTTTGCCACACGATGGTAGTGTTGCTTCTCTTGTTAAGACACAAAAATAGATTTCAGATGTCAGTTAAAATTGTAAAAAATTATATTTCTCCAAGGAGACCTAACAATAAAACATTAGTTTCATAAAGAAAAAAGACGCCTACACATTTATGTTATTTTTAAAGAGCAGGAAACATCGATGCCAGTGTTTCCTGAGGAGAATTGCCATTTCTTCTTTAGGAAACGGATCTTTGCTCGTCAGGAACGAACTCATCATCCCTCTTCTAGGAGAATCTTGTTTTGAGCATTGTCTTTCTAATTACTGTCCCTTTTAATTGGGTTGACCAACATCATCTGTTTCTTTGTAAGTTGATGTAGATATTTGTATTGAAGAAAAGAAATTGTAAATGACACTTAGATTGACTGTCTTCCGCACAATCTTTTATAGCAGATTTAGGATTAGAAGTCAACTTGGAATTTGCTTAGTGTGACCCTCTATTTGCATGCAGACATTACTTCTGCATCATCCAGAACAGATGGCCATCTAGTTTCTCAAGTGCGTCTAAGGATCCCTTCAACACAGCTTCTTATAGGACCCCTAGAAAAAGAGCTTGTTTGCTTTTATATTCAGCATAATGTGGAAGCTATGAAGCTTCTGTTTGCTTGAATTCAAAACCATTTCATTTGTCTGGAGGCAACCATCTTGTTGAGAGAATGAGTCATAGGATAAAATTATGAAATGTAGTTTGTCTGCTGAATACTGTAGTCAGTCACAATCTGTCCCATAGATCAAAAAAATGTTGAAGAAATACAGCGAGCTACATTCTGTACTCTGAGAAATGTGGGTTTAACAAGTCAGAACTTATTTATTTTCCTCATGACCACCATGGACTTATAGAAATATTTAGACAATTAGGATTTCCAGTTACTTTGTTCCCAGAAGTGTAATTTTCAGTAATAGTTTTATAATGAATAGGTTTAGTAGAGGGAGGAAATAAAGCCCTTTTCCATCTTGTCAAATGGTGTGGTAGTGACTTCAGAAGGCAGGCTTTTCTCGGCAGGGCCTTGGCTCCATGCTCCATGTAGCTATTTTCTCAGGGGACACTTCTCTTCTCATCCAGTTAAGATGGTAAAAGAGCTTTGTGGAAAGATTTAGACTGAGCTTACAGGAGTCTGAATATCAGTGTAGTCACCATGGGTCCAGAATACATTCCTGAGCTTTGTAGATTTAGAAATGGCCTCTTATCAGTTCAGCTAGAACTGATTATGCTCTGGGGGAACCTACCACAATAACTGGTCTCAGAAGAGAAGTAGATATAAACCCGAATGCTTCCTTATTACATTCCCCATGGGAAATTTGCCTGGCAGGTAGTCTACGCTGGTCGTTGCTCATGCTGTGGCATTTTAGTGGGCATTAAAATGTCAGCTCCCTGAGAAGCACTATTCCAGGTATAGAGGGGAATAAGAACCTCATTGTGTATGCTGTTTCTGCAGATGGCTAAGCGCTCCCGTTTTACATTCATTTTTGCTGGTTATGATTTCAGATAGTGGTATTTCTGACTTTGATCCCAAGTTCTTATTTGGGTCTTAAAACCATCATGACATGACAACTGTATAGACTTTTATGACTGTAAATGTTTTGTTGTTTAAATCTAGACATTAAATAGCGATCATTTATTTTTCCAATGTATGCCATTTGTAATGATTTTTTTCTGTTACTATAGCATTTTTATCAAGAAAGGGATGGAAACACATTTGAATTTACTATTTTTATTGATTAATTTAAAAATTAAGTTTTATTTGTGTATTTAGGATATACAACACGATGTAATGCAACACATATATATAGTAAAAAGGTTACTATTGAGAAGCAAATTAGCATATCCATCATCTCACATAGTTACCTATTTTTGAGTGTGTGTGACAAGAGCAGCTAAAATCTGCTCATTTTATCAGGAATCCCAAATACAGTAAAATTTTATTAATTATAGTCCTCATGTCGTATATCAGCTCTGTACACTTGCTCATCCTATATACCTGCTTCATTGTAACTTCTAACCTATATTTTCCGATTTCTTTCCCCAACCCCACAATCGTTTTATTCTCTGTCTCTGTATATTTGACTTTCTGTTTTTAAGATTCCACATATAATTGGGATCATGCAATATTTTTCTTTCTGTGTCTGGCACATTTCACTTAGCGTAATGTTCTCCAGGCTCATCCACGTTGTGGCAAATGGCAGGATCTCCATTTCTAAGGCTTAATAGTATCCCATTTTGTGCAAGTGTATATGTAAGTATACCCGTGCACATAAACACACACAAGTACACACACACACGTACACACACATCATAGTTTCTTTATCCATTCATCCACTGATAGACATTTAGGTTGTTTCTAATTCTTTACTTCTGTGAATAATGCTGCAATAAATGTGAGAACACAGATATGTTTATGAGGTCGTGACTCCATTTTCTTTGGGTATATACCCAGAAGAGGGATTGTGAGGTCATATGATAGTTCTAGTTTTAATTTCTTTAGGAATCTGCATAATGTGTTCAATACTAGCTGCACCAATCTATACTCTCACTAATAGTTTATAAGGGTTCCCTTTTCTCCACGCCATTGCCACCACTTGTTGTCACTTATCTTTTTGATAATAGCTATCCTAATGGGCGTAGTCTTATAATGGGTTTAATTTGCATTTCTCTGATGATTAATGATGTTGAGCACCTTTTAATATACCTGTTGATCATTTTTATGTCTCTTTGAAGAATTTCCTAGTATTTTTGTTAGACATTCCAGGCACTTATTAAATAAGATGAAAGGATGAAAAAATGCCATAGTGAAAAACAAAGGTATAGTAATATGAGAAAAGAGTTAGATGATAATGGATTCAGTCTTCAAATGGAAGGCCAAGTAAAGATTCACGTAACATATATGTACTTTAAAAAATAAATGTTGACTTTTTTCTACTTGTTGAAGAATATCTACCTTATAAGTATTTGTTCAGTCCAAAACATTATTTAAAGTTTACTAAATACCAAGGACTATGTTAAGCATGAAGGAGAAATGATAAAAAAGACATAGTCTCTACATCAAGGAGCTCATAACCTAGTGGGGGAGGCTAACAAGTAAACAGGCAATTCTAATTAAGTAGGATATAATGAAGCACAATATGCTAATGATGCACAGGAAACTATATCTGACCCAGCTCTCCATTACATTATAAATAACACAGAGTAATTACATTGTAGTCAATATGTTTTTATACTTTTCCATAGTGCTGTGGTTTGAATATGGTCCTCAAAAGTTCATGTATCGAAACTAAATAGTCATTGGAACACTATTAAGAGGCAAAGTCTTTAAGAGGTGATTAGGCTATGAAGGCTCCACCCTCTTGCTGGGTTTAATGGTGTTATTGAGGGAGTAGGTTTGTTATCTCAAGAGTTCAACCACCTTTTTCTCTCTGTCTCACATGTTCACTTTCCCTTCTGCCATGGAATAATGCAGAAAGAAGGCCATCAATACCAGATGCCAGCACCATACTCTTGAACTTCCAAACCTCAAGAACAATGAGCCAAATGGATCTATTTTCTTTATAAATTACCCAATTTGTAGTATTCCATTATAAGCTGCAGAAAATGCCTTAAGGTACATAATCTTCCTTTAGTTTAAAAGATTTAAGATAAGATGGGTAACTATCCATAAAGATAAGATGGACTTATTTTATATGTTAGCATATTGTTGTACTAAAGCTCTTGATTATGGAAGTGATTGTCTCCAAAGTGCGGTTATTCACTTTGGAATAACCAAAGTGATGTGGCAATATTCACTCAAATTTACAATAACTTTCCCAAATCACCCCACGGTAAGCATACATTTTATGTCAAAAAAGCATGCTTGGAATGTAGGCACAGCTTCTGACAAATCTTTTAGAACCTACCCTGTGCCCACCACAAAAGCACACCTGCAACCAGTGTGCTGCTCCAAAATTTCTCCTATATAGAAGGTCAGAATCTTCCACTCTTTGGAAGCCTATTTATAATATGAAGCAGAAATCATTGTAGCAAAAGTAGAATATATAGTATTTCTATATGAACAAATAGAACATACTATAATACATCTTTCAAAACTTTGGAGAACAAAATTACTGGGTCTCTATGGGACATCCTGCGGTGAACTGTAGAGAATCTGTGTTCTACATCCTTTTTGTGCACTGCAGCCTTGAACTAGTCAAATCCTATCAATCACTTTACTAAGAGAAATAGTATTTAATAAAATTTAATCTTCACATTCATCTATCCATCAATCAACACAAATGGCATTTGTTCAGCTCCTACTATGTTTTGGATGCTATTTTAGACATTGGGGTTCCATAATGAATAACACGTTATCCTTATCTCTAGGGAATATATTTATGCCATATTATAGGAGGTATACTTAGTTATGATCCACTATGTGGTAGCATTATAATGATTTCTTAATATAGTGCCACAGAGACACTAGAGAAGAAAGATAAATTCTGTCTTCAGAGGCAGAAAAAGTCTTTAGAGAGGAGGTCACATTTGTACAGATTTGTGGAGAATGTGTAGGAATTTTCTAAGTGGCTATAGTAAAGAGAAAATATTATGATATAAGGTATATACAATTCATCTATTCTATATGTTTTAAGTTCTATCTTTTAAGAGATTAGATGACAAGAAAATTCTATGCTTAGTTGTTTTCTGGTCATCTTGTTTTCAAGATGGCTGACTAGAGACATTGAAAGCCAGTTCTCCGCAGAAAGAAGATCAAAGTTACTGGTGAATGGACAAATTCTGAGGGTAAACTGAGGGATGTGAGCCAGGACCTGTCAGAGTGTTCAAGGGAAGACACTATGGTGCAGAAAAGGAAAGCAGCAAGAGTCTGGCTGAGATTGATCCCTGTGGAACTTGAAGCCCTGAGAAAAAGGTAGGTGGGAATGCTTCTTTGCTCCCTTTACCCGTCACAGTCTCCTAACAGCCGAACTACTGGGGAGCCCCTCTGCCCTCATGGCCAAGGGTAACACTAGCAGTGGTGATTTGAGAACTGACTGGGGATACAGACCCAGATGGCTAGCTCAAACAGGTGTGCCCACACTGCCTCAGACCTGAGCTGAGATGGTGGGGCACCATACTTGTCATGCACCCACGGTGGAACACTGTCCCGTCCAGGGACTCTCCACCCTTGAGACGCTGCTCCACTAGATCCCCTGCAAACATACCACACAACCTGCTCTGACTTTGGCAAGCACAGGAGGCTGGTGGGTTCTGGGGAGCTGTGGGATCCCCGGAGATCTAATCCTTGGCATACGTTGCCCCAAGGGACAAGGGAATATAGCCCACCAAAGCCTCCTCTTGGGACAAAGGAAATGTAGCCTGACACTAACTGCTGAAAGAGGCAGTACCAATGCTTGGGAATGAATGTGGAGATGGGGGTCATCTCCTGCCCCTGTCCTACACTATATAAGACACAGCAGTGGTTCTTTCTGCCAGGGGCTGGTGATCACATACTTGTTCACAGCATTTTTCACACTTTTTGTGGTGGCTCAACTGTCACTGAAAGTGAGCCCTGTGCCACTGAAGGTTTCATGAAGGCTAGGACCCAAATCCCCCTCCCTACAATGAGTAGCACCATCAAAGCAAAGGAGGAAAGATAAGTTGCAGAGTTTCTTGCTTTGATTTGGAGGAAGAGACTCTCCTCTGAGGGCATTTTGGCAGTAGTAGTTTGTCAGAGGGCCATACCCACAGCCCACAGTCATACTGCAGCCAGAAACCAAAGGACAAAGTCTTTATGAAATGAAGATCATGATCCCTGAAACGGGGGCATGATAGGGAAAGAGACTGCATTCCTGTTGTCTCAGGATGAGAAGTGGGTGCAACTCTCCTGCCCACTACCCTGAGATATCAGCGCACCTGACACTGTCTTCTTGCCACTCCTGTGTCCAGCAGGGTGCTTCTGATAGAAACCAGTCTACTTGCCAGCTCTCAAACACCATCTACTGTACTGCAGCCTGAACTTTACTACCAAAAAAACAAAAAACAACAAACAAACAAACAAAAAACCCTGCTATGAGAAGGGCTCAGTGCTAGTCCATGAGATAAGCCCCCTGGTACTTCCACACCCTCAGCCCCACAGGAAATAGGATATCTGCTGTTACAGCTGATAGATTACTACAACAAGCAGCAACTGAGAAAACCACTACACAGAAGCTATTCACAACCAAGGAACCCATATAGAACTTTGGCTCCCTGAAAGCACCCAGAGATGAAGCCAAATGATCATAGACCACATACACTACAGTCATACCTTTAAGAAGAAAAAAAGAATAAAAATCTCTTCCTGATGATAGCAATTAAAAAAATGAGAAGTGATAGCTCCCTCAGATGAAAAGAAATCAGTGCAAAACTCCAGCAGTACAAAAAACCAGAGTATTTTGATACCTCCAAAAGATTGTACTAGTTCTCCAGCAATGGCTCCTAGTCAGATTTAAATGATAATAAGATGACAGATAATAAACTCAAAATATGGAATGCAAGGAGACTCAAGAGAACCAAGAGAAAGCTAAAACCCAATACAAAAAAAAAATCAGAAAAAGATTAAGGATATAAAAGATGAGATAGCCATACAGAGAAATAAACAACTAGAACTGCACAAATTGAATACCCACTACAGAAATTTCAAAATACAGTTGGAAGAGTTAACAATAGACTAGACCAAGCAGAAGAAAGAATTTCAGAGCTGGAAGACCAGTCTTTCAAATTAACCCTAGTCAGACAAAAATAAAGACAAAATAATCTTGAAGAACAAAGCTTTTGAGAAATATTGGATATGTAAAGCAATCAAACCTTTGACTTACTGGTATTCCTGAGGGAGGAAAAGAAAAAGTAAGCAACTTGGAAAACATATGTGAAGGCATTATTAAGGAAAATTCACCTAATCTTGTTAAGAGGTTAACATCTGGACTTGGAAAATTCAGAGAAATTCTGCGAGATCCTGTACAAGATGACTATCTCCAAGGCATGTAGTCATCAGATTCCCAAAGGATCCCTTGGGGAAAACAGAAAAACCCTTAAAGGCAGCTAGAGAAGAGGGTCAAATTATCTATAGAGGAAAACCCATCAGACTAACAGTGGACTTCTCAGCAGAAATCTTAATGTCACCCCTAAAGGAACTAGAAAAATAAGAATAAGCTAAATCCAACAGAAATAATGCAGATCAGAGCAAAGCTAAAGGAAAAACTAGAAAAATAAGAATAAGCTAAATCCAAAGAAATAATGACGCTAAATCCAACAGAAATAATGAAGCTCAGAGCAGAACTAAATGAAACTGAGACCATAAAAACACACAAAGGATCAATGAAACAAAATGTTGGTCTTGGAAAGGATAAACAAAATGGACAAACTGCGAGCTAGATTAACCAAGAAAAAAAGGGAAAATCCAAATAAGCACAATCGGAAGTAACAAAGGTGACATTACAACAGAAATACAAAATATCCTCTGAAACCCTATAAACATCTCCATGAACACAAACTAGAAAATCTAGAGGAAATGGAAACACACAGTCCCCCAAAATTGAACCAGGAAGAAACTGAAATCCTTAACAGACCAATAATGAGTTATGAAATTGAATCAGTAATAAAATCTAGTAACCATAAAAGCACTGAACCAGATGGATCTACAGCCAATTTCTACCAAATGTACAAAGAACAGTTGGTACCAATTTTGTTAAAAACATGCTAAAAAATCAAAGAGGAGGGATTCCTCCCTAACTCATTCTGTGAAACCCAGTATCATCCTGATCCAAAACCCAGCAAGAACACAACAAAAAAGAAAACTATGGGCCAATACCCTTGATGAACATAGATATAAAAGTCCTCAACAAAATATTAATGAACTGAATTCAACAGCACATCAGAAAGAGAACATACCACAATCAAGTGGGTTTTATTGCTGCAATGCAAGGATGGTCCAACATATGCAAATCAATAAGTGTTTCACCACATAAACAGACTTAAAAACAAAACCCATGATAATCTCAATAGATGCATAAAAGACATTTGCTAAAATACAACACTCCTTCATGATAAAAACCTTCAACCATTAGGCATCTAAGGAACACACCTTGAAATAATATACCTTGAAGAACCATCTATGACAAAACCTTAGACAACATAAATCCGAATGCACCAAAGATGAAAGCGTTTCCTCTAAGAGCTAGAGCAAGACAAGGATGTCCACTGTCACCATTCCTATTCAACATAGTAGTGGAAGTCTTGGAGCATATCAGGCAAGAGAAAGAAATAAAAGGCATCCAAATAGAAAAAGAAGTCAAATTGTCTTTGTTCACCACTTACATGATCCTACATTTAGAAAACCCTAAAAATTTCTCCCCCAAACTCCTATACCTGATGAATACCTTCAGCAAAGTTTCAAGATACAAAATAAACATACGAATTATTGTATGTTTATCGAATTAACAGTGTTCAAGTTGAGAAGCAAATCAAGAACTCAATCCCATTTACAATAGCCACAAAAAAACTAGGAATACATTTAACAAAGTAGGTGAAATATCTCTACAAAAGAACTACAAAATACCGATGAAAGAAATCATGAATTACACACAAAAAATGTTGAAGCATTCCATGCTCATGGATTGGAAGAATCAATATTATTAAAATGACCATACTGCCAAAAGCAATCTACAGATTCAAGGCAATTCCTGTCAAATTACCAACATCATTTTTCATAGACTTAGAAAAAACAATTCTAAAATTTGTATGGAAACAAAAGAGAGCCCAAATAGCCAAAGCAATCCCAAGCAAAAAGAACAAAGTGAGACGCAACACATTACCCCACTTCAAACTATAGTTGTAGTAACTATAGCTGACAACTATAGTTGACAAAGCAGCGTGTTTGTGGTACAAAAATTGACATAAAGATCAATGGAAAAGAATTGAAAGCCAAAACATAAAGCCACACACCTACAACCAACTGAACTTTGACAAAGTTAAGAAAAACTAAAACTGGGGCAAGGTCACCCTATTCAATAAATGGTGCTAGGTAAAAAGCCTGGCCACTTGCAGAAGAAAAACACTGGACCCTTACCCTTTCATCATATATAAAAATTAACTCAAGATGGATTAAAGACTTCAATGTAAGACCTAAAACTATAAAAATCCTGAAGAAAATCTAGAAAAGAACTCTTCTGGATACTGGCATAGACAAAGAATTTTTGACTAAGACCTCAAAAGCAATTGCAACAAAAGCAAACATTGACAAATGGGGCTTAATTAAATGAAAGTTTCTGTAAAGAAAATAAAATAATCAACAGATTAAATACAGCCTTCAGAAAGAGTAAATATTTGCAAACTATTTATCTGACAAAAGACTAATATCCAGAATATACAAGGATCTTAAACAAATCAACATGAAATAAAACAACCCAATTAAAAAGCGTGCAAAGGACATGAACAGACACTTCTCAAAAGAAGATATATGAACAACCAACAAACATATGAAAAAAATGCTCAAAATTGATAATTCTCTGTAATAATCATCAGAGAAATGCAAAATAAAACCACATTGAGATATCATCTCACATCAGTCAGAATACTTAATATTAAAAAGTCAGAAACCAGCAGATGTTGACAATAATGCAGGAAAAAGGGAACATTATACATTGTTGGTAGAAATATAAATTAGTTCAGCATCTATGGAAAACAGTATGGAGATATCTCAAATAACTAAAAATAGAACTACCATTCAAACCAGCAATCCCATTACTGGGTATTCATTTACCCAGTGGAAAATAAATGGTTTTATAAGAAAGACACCTGCACTTGCATGGTTATTGAAGCACTACTCACAATAGCAAAGTCATGGAATCAACCTAGATGTCCATGAACAGTGCGCTGGATAAAGAAAATGTG